TGATGAATGTAATGTCCCTGGTAAATAAATTACACAAATTAAACATCAAATTCCTTGGAGATTTTATCTTGTATAATTATATAACGCACACGCTTTATATATAATACACTCTTGGTCATGACAAAGAAAATACCATTAGGTATAAGTTATTTTGATAAGATATAGGGTAACCTGTATCTTTGGATTTATTTGATCGGTGGAGCTCTCTTAAAGTAGACATCTCTGCAAGCGTCTGAAGAATCAGATCTCCACCAGGAAGCTGATTGCAGAGATTGAACGGAAGAAGATTTTCGTAACGCATTGCATTTGTCAAACTGAGTTCTTGAATAGCTTGCACACGTATGATGCCAAGGACAGCCTTTGAAAGTGCTTCGTCTCTTGCCAAACTGGTGATCCTGTACTCCTTTATGTATCTGTGAACGTATAATACTTCTCGTATAATAGTGAGCCAGTAATCGCGGCGGGTGTGGCCTTTGAGCTCTGGAAATTCCATTACCACTGGTTCTGATCTACGACAGATACCCATTAAAAGCTGTTAACAAATCATTCACAAAAAGGAGCATGTTTTTAGTTCTTACAAGAGATTACAATCAATTTAATGCAAAAGACAGTCTTACAGAGATATAGATGTGTAAGAAACAGCCTTGTCGAAAAGCCGAGTTCCCCAAGGACCAGTTAACTCAGGTTTAACTATTTGCTTTAGATCTTCCGATAGGTCATATCGCTTTGGTTTATCATAAGACACGACTTTTAAGGCCTCAAAATATAGTGAATGGTCTGTCAGGATCAAGCGACCTGAATGGTATCGTGGCAAAAGTGAGTGGTATGCACACAAGCCAAGACCGTGACTATAGAGAAAATACAAACAATACCTGGCCATGTTGATATTCCAACATGTTCAAGAACTGGTTGGGTAGTAACTGTCCCATCTATTTCCAGAATCTTTTCTCTTTTTGATCGAACACCAGAAAGCAAAGATGATTCTGACTGAGCCCTCATCTTCTTTATTGCTCTATAAACAGAGTAAAATTTTAAAAATGTCTGCAAAATGATTTGAGACAAAGGAGATATCCTTCTAAGGATCTTATGTTTTACCTCTCAAGTCCATATAAATATTTGTCATAAACAGAGAACTGAAGCCGACCACCCGTTGATGAAGTAAGCGTTTCAAACAGATTTTCACATATGATCACATCAGCTATTATAGGAATTGCTGGTGCGATCCGTGAGAAGGCTTCTAAACTCACTGTTGCATCCTCTTCAACCTATTTAAAAGGAAAAAGATAATAAAGAAAAGCTTCTTACAAGGATGGCAGAGAAAATAATAAAAATGAGCCTTACGCTGAGTAAAGCCTGGCTAGCAACAGCTGGGACTTCCCACACAACCATCATGTCAAAGGTTAAGCGCCGAAACTTTTTATCGGCTAGATGACCTGTTACTCCCACAGAGAGTGAAAGTGCTCTAAAACAACAGTACTCTAGAAAATTCCTTGCAAATAGAGAGGGCTGCTTGAGAGATTCAAATGCCTCTTGTTTGAAACTATCTCGCAGCTCGTTTGCAGGAACACCGAGTATCCTGCATAAATAGCGTATCCATATAAATTTGAAAACAGATCAGTAACCTCATTCTTGCATCCAATGCTATCTAATAGTAGCACATATTTAATCAAAACTCGAGCCCCTTTCTGTAGGTTCCTCTTCAGATAGAACTATCCCTAGTGAAACCAATCACTAAACTCATTCTTCGACTAATTATTCCAGCATCATATCGTCAAGACTCAAGCGATATCAAACACCAAAAAAACTAGCTTATCGTGATCGTACCCTCACCCTAAAGAGCCCTGTAAAATCATAGTGCAAAATGCTTAATCAAATCAATGAAAAAGACAGATGAATGATACTTACTTTGAACACCTGCGGACAACGACATTAGCCACAGGAGAAAGCTCAGGTATCCAATTGGTGCCAGCAGATGGGGATCTTCCCATTTCCTCAATTTCTTCATCGAAAGAACTTTGCTTCCCGAGAAACCATTTAAAGGAAGTATCCTTAACCAAACCTTCAAGCATATTCCGGGTTTTGCTAGACATGCTAGAAAACTCCTTAGTAAGTCCTTACCCCTGTTACCCACCCTGGTTTACCCCTAAAACAATCAGCACAGCAGAATCATTCAAGATATTAGATTGATTCCATTTATATGAGATTTAAAGAATCGAGTTCAATGCATAATAATAACTTAAATTGCAATCCAGCTCAAGGTAGTTGGTCGGTAGGTTTGACACAGATCATGAACATTCCTAACATTTTGAGAATATATATATGGACTGTGGTTTTGCCTACACGATCTCTATTGCTTCATTGATCAACTAAAAGCTAAATTCCAAAATTTTGAGCAAAATATCAATACAGAGACTAATCAATCACCTCAAATCTGAAGCAACGTCGTCGAAGCTGACTTAAGTCGAAAACATCCCAAAACAATTAACTCCAAAACAGCTGTTTATATCACGAAGGGTATGTGGATCAGATGATCTCAACGAACCCACCTCAGATCAAACATTTTATTTAAAAAATCGAATACTTGCCCACAATCCATACGCTTCATTCTCGAATTATGAATCAATTTAGAGATTATAACGCTTGCTTCTCCAAATGGGCACCCTCGATTCTCATATTCTACCCTTAATTGGGTTTTATCGAAAATGAAAACGCGCAAAGAGAAGCGAAACACGAAGACGGAGGAGGAGGAGGAGGGAGAGAGCGACGGATATAAAACTCTGATTCGTTTTCCGCTTTCGTTAAGAGTTAAGACACGGTCACTAAAGACGTGATGCCATACGTGTTTTTACACGTCAGCACATTTGACGGTTTAGATAAAATAAAAAAGCCGTCTCATTTAATCTTATCCCTACACGTGACTTATATAAATAGTAAATTAAGCAGGGTTTTTTTCAGATAATGTTTCCATCTAGAGTTAAAAAATAACCTTCCCTTTGTGTCTCTATCTAGAGAATGAATAGAGTTAATCCTAGAATACTCTGCAACCATGTTGTTTTATTGGGCCAATTTCACGATAAAGCCCATAATAAGATGGGCCTATAGTTTATTATATATACAACATTAAAACCCTTAAAAATCAAAGCCAGCGGCACTACGCTTTCTTCACAATGTCGATGTCGGAGCTTCCACAGACCACATGATCTGTTAGAGGAGATACTCTGTCGCGTTCCGGCTATATATCTAAAACCGTTAAGATCTACATGCAAGAAATTGAGCAGTTTATTCAACGACAAGAGATTCAGAAGAAAGCACTTTGACAAAGCCCAAAAACAGTCTCTGGTTCTCATGTTGACAGAGAGGATTGTAGAATTCGTTCCTTGAACGTCAATCTAAGCGAAAAACCATCCGTAGAGGTTGGGGTTGAACTTAGAAGAGTCAGTATATCTCGAATATTTCACTGTGATGGCTTATTGTTATACATCAACGAAGTAGAGACTGTAATGGTGGTTTGGAACCCGTTCATGGGTAAAACCAGGTGGATCCAACACATAGATGGTGACATGAGAGGATACTACAGCTATGTTCTTGGATCCTACCAAGACAAAAAATCCGGCATTACCAGCTACAAAGTACTGAGATATTGGTTTGGCAACAAACCAGTATTTGAAATATGTGAGCTTTACTCTAATTCATGGAGGATTTTTGATGTCACTCCGAACTTTAGGTTTTATGGTATTGCCCTAAATTCTTGCGTATCTTTGAAGGGTAAGACCTACTGGTTAATTTGCTAGTGGTGAAAAAGAGGGGCAGCTCGATATGGTTAGTTTTGATTATCGAGCACCCTCGACGTAGAGAGTAAAAGATGTACTAAATTAGTTACGTACATGCATGCTATATGCAGCCATTAATGCTCTCTTACTTTCTCTTGGTCGTCGTCAAGTCCTTTGAATCATCCTTCCTTTGAGCTCTCATTTTGTATTAACAAGTGGTATAACTAGAAGTGCTTTTAACATTGAGTTTTTCTTGTTTTGTTTTTATAATAAAAGGTTTATGATCAAACCTCTTGTTTTTAGCTTGAATGAATGAAATCATTTTGCTATAAAAATAAATCATGTTACTTTACATATATACTATGTATAACGAAAAGAGAATTATGTTTCAAAATTTACGCTTTCCTAATTCAATGACAAGTGATTCATAAAGCATGTAGGAAGCTATATATCTCATTTGTCTATGACCTGAGTTTTCTTTTGCACTCTCAATTGCAAGTTACAAGTTGTAAGCAAGAAATACATCACCCTTCACCACTTCAAGTTCTAGTAAGTTCAGCGCCACAAGAATTTGTAAAGGTTCGTTAATTATTTGGACGAATTTGTGTATAGTTCCATTGTACGTTAGCCATTACGAACTACATATATCTTTGTTATAAAGTGTCTTAAAGCGCTAATTTCCTCTGTGACGTCTTCTAACAAAAAAAAAAGGGAACACGACGGAGTACAAGTTCTACAAAGCTCACTGAAAAATTTATCGTCTTTTAACTTTCCCTATCACTGAAAAATATGTCGGCTTTGATATATTGTATTACAAATGGTATATCATTAGAGATGTGCGTTAACATTGTTTCTTTAAAGTCTTATGATAAGAACTAAGAAGAATCATATACTGTATATATAGGATCATATATTAGAATTAAATGCACATCGTGTTAATATATTTCCTCCTTAACTAGATTATTCAACTTCCTTAATTAATTTGCCAAAAATTACTCTCAAAAACACTCGTAACTAGTGCTTTATTTTCATCTTTCTATAGAAAGAAGATTTATAATGATTCATCTATATAATTAACGATCATAAGAATTTTAATACACATCGGTAATATCCGGTTTAGTTTTGATTACTACTTACAAAATTGTAGAGTCTCGGTTATAACCGGTTTATCTATAGTATTTAATCTCCTAACCCATTTCACTGACGACGATAGAATGAATAGAAACGAAACCCAAATCGAAGAATGATGACGGCACGACGATCGGGGCGGAGGCTGAAATCAAAAACCCTAAGTATTAACAATTCTCGGAGTTCAACGAAGTCGATGCCGGAGCTTCCAAAGGATTTGGTAGAGGAGATACTCTGTCGCGTTCCGGCGACATCTCTGAATCGGTTACGAACTACTTGCAAAGCCTGGAATCGATTGCTCGAAGATGATCGGAGATTCGCGAGGAAGCATTTGGATGAAGCCGCGAAGGAGTTTCTCCCTCTCATGTTAACCAAGGACTATGAGGTTCATTCGTTTAGCGTCAATCCCCGTGTACGTGATCCATCTATCGAGTGGAAAGGAGAGCTTAAACTACTCAATCGGCGTTCGAAGTTCATCGATTGCGTCTTTCACTGCGACGGCTTGCTGCTATGCACCTCCGAAGAGAACGAATCTAGAATCGTGGTTTGGAACCCTTTCACCCGTCAAACCAGGTTGATCGATGTCGGTCTCAAGATGAGAGGCTTCATTTTCAATCTCGGCTACTCGCAGGACAACGAAGCTTCTTCCGGTAAGAGCTACAAAATACTGAGCTTTTACTCTGGTACGAATGATTCTGGAATCTACGATTTTGAATCTGATTCATGGAGGGTTCTTGGTTATGATATAGCTCCAGCTCCAGGCTGGGACCTTGAAATCCTTAGTCCCAGCGTCTCTTTAAAGGGAAACATTTACCGGTTTGCTACTGATGAAAAAGGAATCAAATCTTTGCTTAAGTTTGATTTTTCTACTGAGAAATCTGAACCTGTGCCTCTTCCCTATCAGTGTGATCGTTATGGTGCCACGATTCTTTCCGCTGTTAGAGATGAGAAGCTTTCCGTGTTACTACAGAAGCAGGGAAAGGGTTCCAAGACTGAGATATGGGTGACAAATGAGATTCATGACACCAAAGCTGTGTTCTGGACCAAGGTCTTAGCATTGGATTTGGAAAGTAATCTTCAAATAAATGATCTTGGAAGTTTCTTGCTCGACGAAGATACGAAAGTCGTTCAAATTTGTCAGAGATGGTTCGACGAAGACGAGGACGACGATCCATATAACATTGACATGCTCTACGTTTTTGGGGAGGATACAGAAGCTATATTAACCGTTGATGAAGTACCTGATATAACAGAATGTTGGCCAGCAGTTACTCATTATGTTCCAAGTTTTGTTCATATCAAGCGTCTTGGAGGCAAAAGGAAAAGAGGTGGCTAAATAAGCTCTTCATCTATTCTCCTTTTTTTTTTCTCTCTCTCTCTTTAGATTAACTTGGTTATGTTCTTTCAAGCTTTTCTTGTTCAATGAAACTTTGCTTTTGTTTTTCTGGGCATCAAAGTTGAAAAACATAAAATGGTCTCTCATGGAATACTCTTTTGATTGTAGTTTAAGTGTTTTCAACCTAAAGGTAAGCAGATAAGTCTATTGATAAAAGATCCATTAGTTGTCACTGCGGCACCAAAGTTGCCACTAGAGTTTTACCAGTACTGCATCTTCCTCTCATTCTAAGTTCTGTGTATCATCACCCTTCTGCATAACAACCTGACGATCAGCTAGGGTGATGAAATGGTATATTATTTGAAAATTATGTAGCATAACTTATAGCTGTAAGAGCGTGTGGAATCTGAGTGGTATGTTAATGTAACATATAGCTTCACCTCTGCATGTCTGCTGCCATGATATAACCATTTGTATTTTCTCTGTTTCCATTGTGTGGAAAGAGCACGAGTGCTCTATAGTGTGAAACAGGTAGCATAATTGTTCTGCAACAGTATGTCACAGATCACACGACTGTGAATGAGATAGGATATAATGAGACTATAAGGTGTCTCCACTTCCTGTCATCTTAGTTGACATAAATCATTCTATGCTCAACATCACCAGCTATAACGTCTCTTTCTCAAGATCAATTGCTGTAACAACACAATTAATAGAAGCTAGCAATTGATAAAGATAAAGTCAAAGAAGTCGATACCACTGGTTTTCTTTTTCGTCAGTCTGTTTAGCTTTACATATTTGATCGTTCGAGTTCAAGACGCTCAGTTTTGTTCTCTTCTATGCATTTTTGATACGCCTCTCTCACAAGTATTTTGTGTTAGAATTTAGGCTCGTTATTTGCGATTCACAAAAAATATTCACAGAGACAATAGTTTGTGTGTGTGATGATGATGTTGGTTGGGTGTGTCTAATCCAAAAATAGTTTCCTTATTTCTAAGTGTCACTGACACAAAAGAGAGCATATATTCTATATAAAAAAATGGTGGTATATTCTTATTCTTCATATCATATATATCATCTATCATAAAAACATAAAAAAAAAAAAAAACTGTGCGTATTCGTTTTCTGAAATATTTTCCTTTTGAAACTATGGGCCGGAACCGAAGGAAGAAAGCAAATATCATCATTTATTATGTCATTGTTGATAACTCTTTACAAATAACGACAAAATAAATAAACATTACCTAAGTGTATATATATTGACATATTGTACAGTACAATCATACCAACTAAAATCAGCTTGGTAAATTAATTAATTAATTAAAGCTAAATAGGTAAAGTCTTGTAGTAAATTCCGAAAAATGCATATGACTATGTTTAGTAATTATACCCAAGATCTTATCAAACTGTATTCGTAATTAATAAAATCATGTGCATATGACTATGTTTAGCGCGATATATATGTATATTAATTTGGCTCTATCATGTGTTATGCATAAGGTAACCTTTTTCTAAACAGTTTTATAATATTTTGATCACCAGATATAACTGACAATAAACTGATCATCTAATAGACGAAACAAATAAATCAATTTCTTGACCAGTAAAAAAAACTAATAATAATAATTCAATTTCAGAAGTATGCAATAAGAGAAAGAAAAGAAGTCCAACATAATTGACAAAAATACATTATAATGCTGTACAAAAAAGGTACTTCACTAGTTAGTTAAAATATAGTTGATATGTTATCTTCTAACATAACCTATGCATGTGTATTTTATGCATCATTCACCGTTAAGAACATTGCGGTCTTTGTACCCATTTCACAAGTTTTTTTTCATATAAGTTTGTATAACCATTGTAATTTTTTCAAACTAAAATGATTTTTTGGACTAAAATTATTTTATTCCTTACTTTAGTTTTTCTACAGTTGATGCTACGTGGAGGGTTATCTAAGAAGATAACCTTTGCATGATACATAGGTAACTGCCAACGGATGTATGCAGCGTTCACTGATGGAAATATCACATTGTTTGATACTGAGTACTTGAGTCTCAAAGTTCTCATTGCTCCCTCAACTTACATGCATATAGAAACACCCAACAGGTAAATCTATTTCACAAGCTTCTATATAAAAGTTTGAAGTCCAAAGAAATAAGAATTTTTAAGTTTTTGAAAATATTGTAATAGTGAAGCCATTCGTTCATCTTTAAACATAAAAGTAAACTAGTTTTTGGATTAATATGATAAAATTACAAAGTGAACATCTGGTAAATTATATAATTTAATTAATTAAAAATGACAAAATCGTCGTATGTATGATATAAAAGGGGTAGCCGGCGTACTAATTCGACATCCACTCGTCGTAAAAAGAACAATGCCACAAATATTCTAAAAGTCACCACCACTGTTCTTCATAGCTGAAGTGTACACTTTGAAATTTGCCATATCTTCTTGACATGTGGTGAGTCCTTCCATTGCCGCTGATACCTACCTTAATGTTCAACCCTGCTCCATCGCTTGACGCCAAGAATTTCTTAGCATTAGATTTGAGCTTTGGGTGGTTTTATATTCCGGATTATGGAAGGTTTTTGGTAGACTACATCAAGACCATCAACAAGATATTCATTGTTGGGGAGGACAATAACCTCAGTGTTTGATTTTGGAGTAGATACATATGCACCGATAATATTTAATTATGTTCCAAGTTTTCTTCAGGTTGAGCGAGCTCAAATCAAGCGAGCTGAAGGCAAAAGGAAAAGAGGTGAATAAGCTCTAGGGGACTCTAGTAGTACCACCACCTACCTAAATGTAATCTCCCTTTTCTTCAGTGTTTTTTTTTTTTTTTTTAATACCCAAGCATCTGCACCTGCCTTCATCTTGCCCGGTTACTCCTAAGACTGTGTTGCAAATATACTCTTTATTTATTGGGTGTTTCTCAACAATAGATACATTAGAATTGACCAACAAATTACAAACCCCCAAAAATTACTTGAAAAACTAAGCCAACGTTAAAACACATAACATAAAAACTCTTTTTGATTGTGGTTTAACTCAAGTTAAAGCTGATAAATTTTGTTCATTAGTGATCCATAAATATATATTGCCATTAGATTTTGATCAGCACTGCATTTGATGATTCGAGTTCAAGAAAATAGATAGATATATAGGATGTGAGACCTTACATTACATCTTGAAGAAGAAGATAAAAAGAACAAAGGCGGTTAAGAAGTTAGTTAGTTGTGTTTAAAAGACAAGAGTCGGTAAATTGGTATTTGGTTAATTCAGGTACGAAATAGTAATTTAGATTTCTTCCTTCGGTTAACGAGAAAAGATGCCTCGACCTATTTAATCGCTAGACTCACCGCCGATGGCCGTGGAAAGCATTGTAATGGAGATTATTACAGATGAATGGGGACGCAAAAGCTGCATCTCCTCTCCCGAAGAATCATCTATTGGTCCTTTCTTCTCGAACCCATCAGCTTCGGAGCTACTCTTCTCTTCTCCCTCACTCTCTCCCCCGATTCTCTCTACCGTCCCTCACCTTACTCCCGCGCGTTTTCTCTCCGTCTCCGGCGTCCCTCCGTCGGGCTCTTCCGCTATCGCCGCCGCCTCTCTCAGTGTTCCCAATCCTCCCGATGATACCGCTAAGGTTCTCTCCTACAATCGCCTCCAGTTTCTACCTTTCCCCAGTAAAAATTCAGTCTTGGTGTTTTTCCCCACAGGGACTAACCTTGATCGGATTGGGTTCTTGCTGCTTTCCACCGGAGATTCCGGTGGTTTACAAGTCCTGGGTTCGGACGAAGGTGACGTCTTTGTGGCGACAGAGCGATTGTTTTCTCGAATTTTGAAGATTTTGGTGCAACCTGTTAGTACTTTTGCAGCGGATGACTCTTCTTCTTCTGTGGAATTGGGATACGTTTTGGTTTATTCCTTGTATTCGATTCATTGGTTCTGTGTCAACTATGATGAATCTCAAGGCAAGCCGGTTTTGAGAAACCTTGGGTGTAAGCAGTTTAAGATGTGTATGGTTGTAAGCGCTGCTTGGAGCCCTCATATTACTGGAGAGTCGTTAGTCTTGTTAGAGAACGGAGAGGTCTTTTTGTTTGATGTGAATCAGAGACTTTCTAGACTTAGAGGTTCCAAACTGAAAGTTTCTTGGGAGGGTCAAGGGAAATCAGTCAATAGGAGGAGTTGGTTAGGATGTGATTTTGGTTGGACTTTTGGGATTTATGTTGTTGCTCGCTCTGATGCAGTCTTTGCTATTGCCAGAAGCTCTGAGAATTGCACTGTGAGATGTTTATGGGAAGTTGAGAGTCTGAATATGGCTGCAACAGAAGAGGTTGTTGGCTTTGCAAAGGCGGGTAGTGACTGTTTTAGGTTTATTCTCGCTTCCCAGAGCTATGTATTTCTCTGTGATTCGAGATCAGGAGTGCCTTTGTTGAAATGGCAGCATGATGTTGAGCAGCCTTGCTTTATTGATGTTTATAGATTGTCTGAACTTGGAATTAGGACTGTTGAATCAACTACTTCTTGCGTTATAATTGGCTCGTTTTGGAATGCGCAATCTCAAATGTTCTGTTATGGACCTTCTCCATCTGTTGTGAAGGATCCTTGTTCCTTGTATGTATGGGAGCTTCCACACAATCTTCTCTTACCTGTCGGAAAGTGTCTATGCGGAGATTGTGTATTTAGGGAAGTGATGATGAAGGAGTCTTTTCTCGAGTGGATCGACTGGCAGAAAAAGAGTGTTCATGTTCTCGGTTTTGGCGTTTTAAACAAGTACCTTCCACTTGGGTCGTCAGATCAATCTTCTGGGTTTACTTTGGTTCGGTTAACATCCTCGGGGAAGCTAGAAGCAGTCACATTCTGTGCTTCTCCTTTCAAAAGTTTAGAACTAGTCGCTCACAAAGATTCGGCCTGCAAACCTGACGAGGTGAACTTACTGTACCTCCCTGATGAAGATGAATACAAATTCCCGAGACGATTTAAATATCTCGAACTCAAGTATCTCTCTGCTCACACAAAAGGGATGCTAGCCGGGTTTATAGATTCAAAGCTGAGGACAAAATCATCAGGTTTGCAGCAGAATAAATCTTTTAGCTTAATCTGCCATGAGGAATTATGTAAGAAGTTGAAGATTTGCGGATTTGGTAGAGACAGATCTTCCTCTAGCATAACCGCAGTCTTTGAGAATATCAGTTCACCGACAAGCATTTTCGAGATTGCATTGAGAGAAACCTGGTCAAGCTTACCTATAGAGATTTTGTTGCTTGCATTCTCCAACTACTCTGAGTTTGAAGATGTTCTGGTAGACAAGAAGAAACCATCTCTCGAGTTCTTAGCTGTTCCAGAATTCCCACAGCTACCGCCTTTCTTGTTTAGGAAACCTTCAAGCCGGAGTAGTAAATGGTCAAAGAAAGAGCAACCCGGTGTTGAGCTCGTTGGTCCTGTTCTTCCACTTCCAGTTCTCATGACACTACATGAGTTTCGCAACGGATGTCCCAATTCAGAACAAGAGTTCTCGCCCGAAGCAGAGTTCTCTAATCGATGCAATCAAATATCCAAAGTAACCTGCGAGCTCGCAATCTCAGGTCAAGATGAGACAACCATTTCACTTGGTGATGACCGAGGCGATGAAATGTGGCTTAACAGTGATTCACAGAAGGAGAAGAAGACTTTCATTTCATATTGCCCGATTACAAAGACAACTGATTCAGACAGACAACAGCAAGAACTCACTACATTTGTCTCCAGAGTGCGTCGTTGTAAAGAAGGTGATAATGATGCTGGAGGAACAACAGGTCTTGAACTGTTCAATGAGTTGTCTCCAGTCGATATTTACTTCGAAAATCGGAAAGTGAATTTCGATACGAAAGCTTTGCTTACGTCCAAGACACTTCTCTCTCAATGGCAGCATCGATCATCTTCATATCAAGAGTTTCTTTCTCAGTACCATCTAAAAAAATGAGAGATATCTCCACGGCTTCTTTTGTTTATTTATTTATTTTTGTATCTTCACCCACCAATTTTGTAATTTCCAGTTTTCGGCTCTGTTCATTTTTGAGGATTATAGTACATGTAGATTTCTCGTGTATAAATAGAAATTCTTCAAATTACGTAATTACCATTTGAAAGAATATCAAAATTTGCATTAGTTGCAACATTTTTCTGGCTATCAAATCTCATACGATGAGAAAAATAAAGAGTCACATCTGATGAAAAAAGATTAGTATCAACATAAATTTTGTTGCATAAATCTCAATGCGTTAACAAGATAAAACAAAGAGTTCCTTAGAAGAGTCTGGTATCAAACTGCTCCTACTTTGGGAAGGAAAAAAACCACACTGTCATTACTTGTTTCTCTTCTCTTTTGAAAGTCGTAAGATGGATCCTAACCCGAACGGAGATGGACCACCGATCACCGGAGCAATCCAAAAACTTCCTCCCCTTCCGCCGCCATTCTTTCTGGCTTGTTTTTGTGGCCTCAAATGATACGAGCTGCAGCAGAGAGGTGGAGGAGAAGGAGGAGGCATATGAGTTGACGAATTTGCACCTGGACGTGGGACTCCATGTCTCTGCGAGCTATACTTGTTAATGTCCCTAAGCATTCCCCTCTTCGAATTCGTTACTGATCCTGTGGAGTTGCTTCTCGTTAAACGAGGAAACGAACATATCAGACTCTTCTTTATATCGCAGTTCAGGCTTGAGCTTCTCTTGAAGCTCCAAAATGACTTTGATGATTTCTCTGCCTCCAGACCCGAATTTACACCGCTCACTCGACCATTTACGCTTCCCCGAGTTTCTTTCACGCTGTATTTTCTCAAGTATTCAGGCAATGGTAAAGGCGGAGGAGGAAGATAGGAGGAGGATAAAGAAGGAGCAGAGACGATAGGAGGGAGCTCATATTTGTAGAGACGTTTTGGCGTGGCGGATGCAGTGGTTACGTGGAAAGGAAGGACTGGGAGGATCATGCCATCCGCAAAGATCTCGTCGGCTGGTGAGGAATCTCCAGGATCAAAGTTTCTTGATGTGTGGAACTCGAAATCTGAGTTTGATGAATCTAAAAGAGTAGTGTCTCTTCGAACCGGGCCTGATGGTTGTTCCATAAGAGGTCCTTTATTGGACTGGCCAAGATCACCAGCAAACGAGATCCGCTGGTGGTTTGACTCCGTGCAGATCATGATGGTCCGTTTTGCTGAAGTTTTCAAAACAAATTAGTGAAACCAATGCGAACTAGAAAAATGATGAGTAAATGATTTACTAACCTTCGTGAGAAGTAATAAGAATCAAGACACGTAATGTAGCACTTTAAAGTTGGATAAATCGTGAATGTGGGAGATGTAAAGGAAATAAGGTTTCCATGAGGAGATGATGAAGGAAAGGTTTAGGGGATCATGATGTTTGAAAACATTTGAGATTAAACGCATTAGTCTATGAATTAGAGGTTGAAAATGAAAACTTCAATTAAAATAATGGATGTGGTGTGCCACTACTGCAGGAAACAATGGCTGAGAAAAAGAACATAATATCTAATTAGATTTCAAGGGTTCGAATAAATTACATTACCTCTACTTTAGGCGTCCAGCACACTGTGTATTCTATCTTTCTTCTCTGTTTTCCACACAGTTCATACTGCTCATCGACCGTGGACCCTCCAATTCGCCTCACCGGCTGGTGACTGCTAACATTAGTCACATTGAAGTGCTTCAATGAGATTTGTTATCAGGTTGTTTGATCATGGCTTTCAACTGCGACCTGGTTTGGAAAGTCAAGAGGAAGAAGCTCTCTGAAGTTTTTTTAGAGCCTTATCAGCATATATCCTTCATTATCTTGCAAAAACTAAACTGGATTGTTTTTTCTTTTCCCTACAACAGTCAACAATGGAACATAGAATCAGTGAGTAAGAACCTGAACTTTAGCTAGTTACAAGTGTCCAAGATCATGTGTTCAAGAAATGGAACACTCTTAATAAGTTTGTAACTTGACTCACCAGAGAGAGAGAGGAAGCTGTTAATAAAACCTTGGAAATGGTGAAATGTTGTTGTTGTAAAAGTGAAGCTTGGTCTGGCCCTGCAAAGTTGTCAATATATCTAACAACACAAACACTGTTTCACAGCAAAATTTCTTGACACAAACATTCTCAACAACCCGAAAAGCTTTTACACGAACGAACACCAAGATCAGAATTTCTACATAACCTTAGCAAGATACTAATTTAAGTAACTCATGAGCTGCTAATAGTAGGCAACAAGAAGAACTAAGTTTGGGATGTAAGAAAGTTGCAGAGAGCTGCATTATTGATAACAAAAACAGCCAGGAGATTCCATTGCCATGGAGATATTACAATTAGCTTTGGTAACGGAGAAAAAAAAAACCCCCCAAGTTGTCTCTTTTACAACAAAAGAAGAATATTAAAGGAAACCAAAGTAAATGGCTTCAATCACTAAAACCTGAGCACATTGCTACATATTTTTATCTTCCTTTTTTACAGAAGTGGAAAAAAACAAAGTTGATACATTTTCTTGGATAGAAGAGAAGCTGACCCCAAAATAGAGGAAGAAAACTTTGTTATCACGTTTCCACAGCCTCAGGAACATCGTATGAGTCTGCTGTTACTTCTTCTGCTAGCCACAATCCTGGAAAAAGAGTCTGCCAAATAGAAAATGTTAAAGCAACAAGCAGCAATGGGAAGGGTAGTAAATAAATAAAAAAGAAGCAAAGATGAAGCTGCTTTTACATTCATTTGCTTCTGAACCAATCTTGGTCTCTTCTTTGGTCTTCTGGGAGGTTTTTTACCAATCAATGCTGAGAAATCTTGTTCGATTTCTTCTCTCAACAAAGAAACAGAGAATTTAACTTTGTTGTTGTTGTTGTTGTGAAAATCTCCATCACCACCATCTTCGCTGCTACCTCCTCTCTTCACCCCAATTTCATGTCTCCGAAGAGAAGAAGAAGAGTCGACGATCCTCGTGGATTCGTCTCCAGGTTCGTTGCAAGCAGCTCTTCTGGTCCTCAGATTCCACGGCCGAACAGCAACATCGCCGCTGGTGTTGTTGTTGGTCCTATCTTCTCCACCATTTCCCAAAACGGAGGAGAGCTTAGGTTTATTGTTGCCGCCATCGTAGACGAGATCGAGGCTGAGCTCTCCAGTACCGTTGTGGGATCTATGATCGGGAGAAGGAGAAGAGGAAGAAGGAGATCGGTGGTGAGGAAGCTTGACACAGCGGAGGAATCTTTGCTGACCCCATCGGAGATAAGGTAAGGTGAAGTTATGGAGGCGTTTCGATCTTTCCGGTGGAGGAGGAAGCTCCATTTGATTGATTGATTTTTTTGGTTTCTCTCCGCCGTGGGAAGACGAAGAAGAAGAAGAAGATTCCTTTCTTTCTATTTTTTGTTTTTCTTCTCTTTCCTTTGGAGCAAAGTTCAAAGTTTTTTTTTTCTTCTTCTTCTTTTTTTTTTTTGTTTGTGTATTTATTCTCAGGAAATTTTATTTTTTTTGTTCGAATTATTCGGAGAGAGAGAGAGAGAGAGAGAGTTAGGAACGCGATTGTAACGTTGTACTCGTGTTTTTTTTCCTTTCCCGACCGGTCTTCTTAAATCAGCTTCACAACTTGTTTACTATAAAATGCGGTTATATTCAAAAACTAGAGGAAACTGTATTGCATAGCAAAATAATGTGACTGACAAATATTCATCTATTAGTTAATAAATTTTATTACAGTTGGTAGGATCACAATTCACAAGCTACGAAACTCATATCTGTTGGCTCTCCTCTCTTGTTGCTTTTTACTTTTCATTACAAATTATATTGATAAGTTAAGTTGCATATATATATATATATATTTTAAAAAGATGTTACAAAGCTTTGGTTGTGAGGATTTCGTCGTCTATTCGTTTTTGCCGATACTATTCCCGCTCTCTCCGATTCGCTTAGTTTTGCCAGCTTTTCGAATTTAGTTAGATTTTTAATTAGTAATGATGAAAAGCAATTTAAACTCTTTTATCCAAAAAAAATGAACGTACAGTAAAAACGTCATTTTCTTTTAACCAACTCTGATGGATTTTCCCTCGTAAAACATTTAAGAAGTAAGAGATAAGTTGAGAAGAATCAAGAAAAAAGAGGTGATATAAAAAATTTTACATTAAAATTGTGACTATTTACACTCTTGAAAGAAAAAGTGTCAGCTTATGGAAAAACAAAGATCGGATAATGTGAAAGAAATGGTATGGGGATGTTCCAGAAACAAACGAGTTCTAGCTTTGTCCAAAAGCCAAAGTATGGGGTAGTAACCTAAATAAGACTCCTCAAAATCTTAATATCTCAGCAGACTATACAAATTTAAAAATCTATCAACGGCCATTTCTTGATTATAAACCTTCTTCACATTGTTGTGCGATACAGAAAGTAAAACCCGAAACAGAAAAGAAAAGAGTGTGAGAGAGCGAGTGAAACCTCTCACAGTGTTTTCAGGATGAGGTTGAGCAGTCTGGGGCGGCTGTTTCGGTCTTGATCACACGGGTATTGTAAGAACCGCAGCTGCCGCATTTATGGTACAACCAATGGAACCTTGTCGTTCCTTTGCGTTCACAGTCATTACATAGAATGTCCTGAAACATTTTTGTATGTGTGTCATGTAATGAAATGACCAGGAGTATACCAAATTTTCAAGAAGCAGCAGTTTTAGCGTTTCTCACCTGACAGCGATTTTTGTATTCTTCTGGGAGTTCTTCTGCAGCTAACAGTGCATCAAGCATACCGAAATAAACCTGTGGAGTTTGCAAAAGAAACAAGGGATAAAAAGTTCAGTGAACGATAATTTACAATGATGTGATTAGCAGATCACGCTTTTGGATGGTGGGAAACTGGAAATCATCTTACCGCCATATCTCCTAATGATTTTCCACAGATTGGACATGTGTAGTGGCTGCAAGTGTAAGCCTGAAAACCAGAGTAACAGTAAGTGTTCTGATTTAAGGCGATAAAAGTGAACTTAAAAGTATAATGAAAAAAAGAGATATTTGCAAACCTGGAAGCAAGCTGAGTGCATGTAGTGACCACATGGTAAGGCTCTAACTGCTTCACTTGATGTGAAAAGAAACTCGCAGCAGATGGGGCAATTTGTCTCGAGGCTCTTCTCAAGGCACTTGTGGTTTACTAATTTCATCCCCAAGCAACAGTTACATGTCATGCAATGGAAGAAATCGATTCCCAGTCCCTCCCCAACCCGGCAAAGGTTGCAGAATGGACAGTGATAAACAGCCCTGAAGGCAGATAAGTTTCCATTGGTTAGAAAAGGTTCTGAAGTTTGATTTTTGACAGTGGTGAATTGATTTGTTTTTGCATCAAACTATTGGGTTTTGCTTACCTTTCATCATCGAAAAGTTTGCAAATACTGCAATAGTGTTTTGCCATTGGGAATCCTTCACATGAAGGCGTTGTGCAGATGGGGCCAACAGGTTGCACCTTTAGGCACCGCATGCAGAGCATTTCCGTCACCAGTTTTCTGTCAAGCGTTCCAAATATAAACTCATATCATTGAGAAAGAAAGAAAAAAGAAGGGAGTTTCAATTTAAGCAAGGAAGATTTGCATAAGAGCTTACCTATCCATGGAGTGGTCGCTTACTTTGTCATGGCAAAACCTACAAGTGAACAACTGATCACAACACGCAGCTCGAAGCTTGCAGTTACGCTTGTAATGCTCGCATCCATATATCTGCTTCTCGGGATCTCGAAAAGACGGGGAACATCCAAGTTCAACATCACCATTTAAGGCAATTTCTGCTTCCTTAGGCAGTTTTTGCTGAGCCGCAATCCATCGACTGATAAAAGCACAACAGGAAGTTTAAGATAAATGTTACCGTAGAACAAACAGCATCTGGGTATGAGGGACATGTGAATGAGATTATAGGTTCGCTATAGCTCAATCAACGACGACGCACACACATATACATACACAGGGGTAAAGAAAATGAACGAACATTTTGGATTAGAATACCGGGAAAGACACATCCCTTATACTATTTTACTTTGCGAAAGAAATATCAAGTAATACAGGGAAATGTACTATTGATTTGGGGTTCTAAGTTTGAGTCAGGTATGCATGAAAATGTGGAATAAAGGATCCATGCATGGAAATAGTGAAAATAATCTGACCTGGTCCTCCAATTTTGTACAAGATAATCTTTTCTCCTCGGATCAAGTGTTGAGTCCTGATAAACTTTCCTGATTTCAGCCTCTAGTTCGTTCTGATTCATGCGGAAAATATCTTTCCACCCAGGCTTAAATAGTTCACCAGTTTGGTCCAAGATTTCTTGATGATCATTATCTATATGAAAAATAAACTTGACATAAGCAAAACAATCTTAGCACAGACAAACAATAGCAGCCAGCTAAGTATGAGTTATGGTCCAACGCAGAAACAACTAGGATTATATTAAACTAGCTAGATGTTAAGTTGGTGAAATATAGTTAAGCGACTTCTTTTACCTTTCTGTGGACTAGGTTTGGATGTTTCTGTTGAGGATGAGTCAGGTGATCCTTTCCAGCATTCATTGAGCCATTCATCGAACATTGTGTTCTTGGTTGCCTGCTTCCAGGTATCCATCATTCTGTTTTGTTCATCTTCAGAAAGGGCAGACGTCACCCATGGTAACATAGACTGAAGAACTTCAGCACCCGTCGTTCCGATTATACGACCCACAATCTTGTCTTGCTCTTGAATGGAGAAGTGTTTGTCAAATAGAGGCCATAGCTCCAGTTCCTCCAAGAAAATGTGCTGATCCAATGTGATTTTAATGGATTTGCACATCCCTTGTAGCTTTGTAGCCAGTTCATTGTACTTTTTCTTGCAGTCACTGTTATCAATATCAGGCTGAACAGTGTCAGTTTGAGTTATGTCCCCCATCAGAGAATGAGTTATGTCCCCCATCAGAGAATCACTTTGTAACTTCTCATGAAGAATTGAAAGTTCAGTAAGGACACTATAAATATCTCCAAACAACTTCTCCTCCTGTTTATGGTCGAGCGTGTAAGAGTGACTGACATTGTGAAGCGTCTCTTTTGATTCCAGCGCTGGAAATAAGATATCATCTTCTGCATTACTATGAGCCTTGTAGAAACCCCAGAGTAGGTGAAACCGACCGATGAATTGACGAATAAATGTTTCATCGCAATCAATGAGCTTTCCCGATTCAACATCAAGAAACTCCAGATCTTTGCTTATGGCCTTGTGAAACTTGAATATTGTAGCAACGGGCCGCTCGGAATGTCCAGTACCAAAGCTGTTGCTATCCATTTCCCAAATAAAGAGGCTGGAATTAAGAGCGGGCGCAGCAGAATTTAGCGAAGAAGATCTCATAGCTTTCGCTGCTGGAAGAGAACCAAGTTCCAGACAATTATTGTTAACTCCGAGATCTGGAACACAGCACGACCTACCATTTTCAGATGGCTTGCACCCATTTGCATCTTCTGACGAGTGGGTGGTGACCTTTTTATCACAAGACAATACAGCAGTTCGCTTAGCTGGCCTTTTATCCTGATGCTGGCAGCACGATTCTACACTCTTACTCGCGCATGGCACAGACGCACAACCATTACATGACTGAAGATGGACTTCTTTAATGTTGCTTAGTGTTTTAGCAGGGCATAAACCATTCCCGTTTGGAGACAAGCATTCCCCAGCTTTGCGCCCTTTGCATGCCCAACCAGAGAAAAGAGTAACGAGAGCAACATCCGATTTAGGTGCTGAGGCCACAAGGAAACCATGTAATTGTGCAAAATTGTGAGTAGATAAGAATTTTGAAAAGGGTTAAGTTTCATTATATGAAAAAAATATATATATATATATACGGTAGATTGTACCTCCAGCTTGCAAGTTCCTCAGAAAATTCTTAGCTTCCTCTTCTGTTAAAGATGCCGTCAACCATGGCAAAACTCGTTCAATTAATCTCAATGGCATTATACACAGGCTTTGGTAGAGCAGTTCTTGTTGTCTTTTAAAGCTGAAGTTCTTTCGTGCAAGGGGTAGCACCTGCAAACATTATAAGTTAGCTAGCATCCGAAATTGAAATCTTGGATCTTCATCGCATATGGTACTGGTATCAACTGATCTTATCTTTCATAGTTCACCTGCTACCAAATCAAATGTCATAGCACTCTAAGCAATAGTTCACCTGAATTTCCTCGTTGTGGAAGTGCCTTTGGATAGTTTCCATTATCTGATCAGCATGTGAGCACAGCTTGGTGTAAAATTCAGCAGCAGAAGTAGAAGAGGCTCCAGCACTCCTGATATTTTCAATTAAGCATCGAAACTCATTAAATTGATTTTCCTCTTCATCATGCTCCTCGGAAAATGAAAACTCTCCATCTACTGCTGGAAATATGATTTT